TCTATGGATGCTGGGAAAAAAACGTTGGCTCACTCGACCGCTGGAGAAGCACATGACTCTCCCAGTGTTTTAACCTTGCAAGTGTCAGATTAGTCAAAATATGTCGCATGGCTGTCCAGACTCGATAACTCAAATGTGTTTACATTGTTCTTGGTGGGATAATTAATTTCCAGTCTTTAGCCATTTTCACGTAGGCAGAAGGTAATAAGCCTAATGCTACTATATTTCTATTGAATATGTTTTGTTGCGTCCCATTTATATGCTCCACCAGTTCTGATATTTACATCTACGGAGAGCCACCCCACCACGACGGAGCCGAATCACCTACATCCGCTCTTTAATTGTACGGAAGAAGTTTTTCTCAGTTTCTTTTCCACAACGAATTGCTACTTTGTGGTACAGATTCCTGCATAGATTATATGAGTTATTTTTAGTAAATACAATTTGGTATAGGACACAGGTTCGATTCCTGTTGGAGAACGCTTACTAGGAAATTTCACGAACATCGACGACGGTAAATGTAATTAATACTATTTAATTAAAAAAAGAGCATTTTCGTAAATAAATTATATCTATTAAAAATAATGCACATGTGTATATATATATATAGTACCTATGGGTTTTTTTTATTTAAACCCGTCTTAGTAGTAAGTCCGGTGTGTCCGACAAAGTAAAAGTGGCAGTTTCTCTTTAATATGACCTCCAATCAGTTGTTAACGAGGGCAAGTAATGATTTGTAAAATGTAACACCTCTAAAAAGCAAACTGCTTATAATTAATTACCATAGCGTATCATTTCAGACTTCCATCAACATGGCTGATGATAACCGCCAGGAAAGTATCTCTTTACGACTTCTTGGACTCACGCTTTCCACTGCCAGGAAGTGGAGTGATTACATTGAATCACTTGATAATATTACTGCTAAGAGATTTGGTTAACTGTCTCTTGACAGATATTTTTTCTTGTCAAAATCCATTTCGCATATTTATAAGTCTACCATTGCTCCCTGCATTGAATATCGTTGCCATATATGGTCTGGTGCTCCGGCTATATACCTCGAGATTCTTGATAAAACCTAAGGAGGAATATGTAATGTTATCGATCTTGACCTGGCATCTCAACTTCAGTCAATTTCCCACGGCCGTGAATGGCTTGGGTTTGTATTTTATAATCTTTACTCCTTGGTGTCTCTAGTAACGCACTATTAGATTGACAATTAGATCGCACCTTTTTACTGTTGAATTAGCTAAATATATTTGTATGTTGTATTCTAATATGCTATATTCTCGCCTTTTTCGCATGTCAAATTTCCCTGTCACCTAAAATTTCAGAAATTTAAGTGGAACGCCAGTCAATATCTTCTGTCTTCTTGACACCTGTTTGTTTATTGTCGTTTCTCCTCCTCTCTTTTTTTCTTTCTGTTTTCATCTCAGCATCCCTTTAGCCTTCAGTAGCGTTATCTCCTTCCTCGGAGTGAAATGTTCAAAAAATAAAGTGAAAAATGTTGTCTATAATAATCAAAAATAAATGAAAAATAAAAGCAATGATTTTGGACATAATGGAATGCCAATGATCACCGCAGATACGAATTATTATGTAATAATGGGGGATAAAAACAGTTATAATATTTAGTATATATCAGAAAATTTAGGCATGAGAGAAACACTATATTATAGAGGAATTGATATTTCTCGCGTCAGTAGATCTTCACATTGTTCCTGAATATAAAAAATGTATTCGTCGAAATAGTGGCAGTTATAACTAATTTGAAAAGCAGGTACCACTCACACACACCCATCGGTCCTTAAAGCTAAAAGTGATATGAAGTTATGATTCATGCACTCTTAATTAAGAAGCCGCTAAACTGACAAAAGAAGGAACAATCCAGGTGCAAAGATAAAATTCTGATTGAAGAGAATGTCTGAAAATGTCTTCGCATCAAATGATCTCAATATATTTGTTTGTGACTGAGTTAATTACGCCATATATATCATTATTCAAAGAATAGCTATTATCTATGGATTAACTGTGTGTCTAGTTGTGCGTCTAATGTTATTAGCTCGTGCATTATCTTTCTCAATCGTATCGCGTTCTTCAACGTAAATCCAAGTTTCAACTTTTCTAATTTCTTTTTCATATAAAAACACACTCGAACATTGAATAAAATTGTAGTGTTTCATAATGTGTTCTTTAATGTGGTACCGTTTTTAGTGATTTTTTACGGTTTCTCCTAATTTTACAGGTTATTTAAATCCAGAAGAGCTGTATTCGAACCTTTCCGAAAATATTTGCTCTTAGGTAAACAAAACGAAAATAACTGGAGTTAGTAAATGGATCTACTATTTCGAATTCCGAGACTTTATTCATTATATCATCGGCACATGTAAGTTTACAGAACCCGGTATTCCCAAGCGGTTACCAAACTAGACAATGACCCCACTCGACGTTGCTTAACTTCTGTGATCGTACGAGAACCGGTGTTTCAACGCGATATAGTCGAAAGCCTAATTTTTGTACTGATTTTGCTTCTAACGACAGAATATAATATTACGACCTAGTAAACTACTAATGATCCTAACACTAAATGACTGATGACATTTCCTGTTGACCTGTTCAGCGGTCACTGCGAAGTGTATGTCACAGGGCAAACCATGAATAAATCAAGGTAAAACCACGTTGGATGGAAACTGATGAATCACACAACTAGTCTATTCATTTCTTAATGGGCAGACGCTTAGGCGTTGTCGATCAACCGCTTGTTGCATTGTTGGATGCGTTAATTTGACTGGAGAATAGACACGTTTATCATTCTATGTATTTGTACATTTTTGTTCGTATGTAATCGTTATTTGATTATATTTTGTGAACGACTGCATGCGTGAATTTTCAAGTGTGTATACATAGTTCTATGTGTGTGTATTTTTATGGAAGATGTCCAGGATTTAGTCTGCCGATTACAACATATTACTAAATTTATATCTCAAAATCATTTAAATGGATTCACAAAGTCTAGAACAAAATTCGTTATATGACTTATGGTCATTTAGTTGTTTTTGCTATAATTTTGTGAATAACTGTGTTGAATAAATATCATGAAAAATAGCTTAATGTAGGTTCATTTCCGGATGTTTACTCTACCATAAAAAAGCGTAGTGGATTTATTGTGTAAAATCTATAATGCTTGCAACGTCTTTGATACTAGATTTCTATCGGTTGAACATTCGATTTTTATTGTGTAAAAATTAAAAAAAAGCTGAAAATATGCAGCCATTATTTTACCGAACAGATCAACTAGTATATATATTTTGTCTTCCTATGATTAAGAATTTATGAAAATTCGTTGATAATAATATTCTAAAAAATGTAATAGCCATGATCTTCGTACTGATTGAATTTTTATTTTCATACTAATGTTCACTAAATGTAAGGCCTAAGAGCCACTCAAATTTAAAACTTATATGGTGTTGTATGAGCGGCAAAAGAGATATCAAAAACTGTACTTTATCAGTTTATGGGAGATAGATAACCGTTAAGTATAGACTTGAAGATACTGATTATTCTTTTTACGTTTGCTTGCAATTAAGCACAAATAAGATAATATCTATATTCAATCTATTTTCCTGACTTCTCGTATGTTTGCTTCTACCTCTATGTTTATCATTTAATCCTTTGCTTTTCTTGGTTTGGTCCTAGTCTTCTGTTGAGCTATCGCTTCGTTACTTAGGGTTGATCTTTACAGATAATGAATTTTTGTTTTGCACACTTATATCTGAGCTCGGGTTATACGTTGCGTACATTATTTATGAACTAAGAAAATTAGCAAATTATTTATTTGCTATTATTCATACAAGATCCATGAGTCAGTCAATTTACATGATTACTGACTAAATGTGTTTTGAGAAATTAAGAAGTTGATTATGAGAATATATAGGATAGATAACGATTAACAATAGACTAGAAATTAAGCGGATACAAGAAGCACTATATCTGCAATCCGATCCAAATGGCCCATACATACTGATTGGGATTACATTCTTATTAATGGAATACAACTAGGATAAAGCTGATGTACATGATATGGCGAATCTTAGCTGTAAGTGTTGAACTCTGAAAACTAGGGAATGTAGTGCGTCGGAGCTCTTTCCCTTGGAGTAGCGATAAGCTGATGACGTAGCGATGAGCTTATGATGTGGCATCATCTGCAAAAAAATGGTCATCTAAATTTTGAAAGGCACGTTTATATAATACATTCTTCTTTACTGCTTAATTTTGTCGTGTCCATAAAGAATTACATAAACAAAAAAAATGTATTATATTGTCAGAGTATCATGTCCCCAATATATATATATATATATATATATATATATATATATATATATATTAAAAAATGTTAAAAAATAAATATAACACAATTCAAAAATTATAATCATAATTAATTCACCTTTCAACACCAAGTGGTTCCATTTTTCTCTAAACACACAAACACGTAATAATTTCACTATCGCCGATTTAATCAACACGTGCGTCAATTCAAATTACGGATCCTTTTGCATTTCCAGGCAATAAGAATAACATTGATCACTTAGCACTCAAGAAAAATTCCAGATAAGAAAACGCCAGCCACACCAAGTAAGACAGCATGAAATCAGAATTGTTTTAGAGATGTATCATTTCGTCTTATATTTATCGAAATTTACAATTATTTTCTTTGCAGGTTCGAGTTGATGGTAATAGGGATCAATTTCTCAATTCACTCTTTTAAAAACCCACAACAACTGGTGTCTTCTGATGCCTTATATATATATATATATATATATATATATATATATATATATATATATATATGTCATGTGTCCTTACCTATAACTACAGAATCAACTCTTCCTAACACTATGTTTACTACGCCTCTCAAGAGAGAGGGACGAATCGAGCCGTGCTTCTCGCCTTGACGGTCGAACTCTCTGCATCTGAGCAGAGAGAAACCCGGACGAGGCTCCGCCAAAGGGCAGAGTCTCGTTCGGGGAGATTGACCAACCCGATTCTGTTTTAACAGTTTCTCCGGGCATCTTTTGGCCGGGCCTACGTGCTCAGGAAACCCACGTAAAACTTGGCCTTGTGCCACATGCAACCCTCGTGGCGGGCTGGGGTAGATACCGAATCGAGTTGAGCCGTTTCGGCTTGACGGTCGAACTCCCTGCCTCTGAGCAGAGAGCAACCAGGACGAGGCTCCGCCAGAATCGAGTTGGTCAACCTCCCCGAACGAGGCTCCGTCGAAGGCTAGAGCCTCGTTCGGGAGGTTGACCAACCCGATTCACTTTTTTACAGTTTCTACGGGCATTTTTTGGCCGAACCTACGGCCTCGGAAAACCCACGTAAAACTCGGCCTTGTGCCACATCTCTCCGGCGTGTGGGGCTAGTAAATATTGAATCGAATCGAGCCGAAAGTAGTTCACTCCAAACCAGACTGACCTTCCATATTTTGTATTAATATTTCGTGTAATATACTTTCGTTATTTCTACTCTTGTCTTCGAGTTGTTCTTCCTTGGTCCTAACCTAGACTATAACAATATATATATATATATATATATATATATATATATATATATATATATATATATATATATATATGGGTTAAAGAATCCGTGGGTAATTAAGCCAAGTAAATCCTATTAATATAAAATATTAAAACTGATCCCCAACACAGAGCTCAATATATATTTTTTTATTATAGAGCAGATAAGTGAATTACAATTAATGCGATCCAAATTAATTAATACTGATGATCATTTCAGCCATGAGAAAGTAAATTTTACTGGATTTATCAATTCAAAGACATTTAATAAAATGAATAAACATTTCGTTCACAGTAAATCTGAAAGGCAAAGAAAGGAAGGAAAGAAGGAAGAAAGAAAAAAAAGGAAAGAATAAAATGAGAGTGTATAGAATTGGCCTATAAAATAGGAGGGAGTTCTATAGATAAAGAGAGTTAAGGGACTTAAATTGGTTGTGGTGGAATTTGGTACAGATATTCATGACGGTTGTGGCCAGACATAATGACACAAAGAAAGGAAGTTAAACAAATATATTAACAGAAACAGTAATGCAAAACATAAACAAACTAGCAAATATTTTCGGTCCGACTCTCAGACTGCTGGAAACTAGACTCTCCGAAAAACAATACCTGCACCTTTTTATAGCTCGGAGAGTCCTTGTGTGCATCGGTATATTAGCATAAGAAAAATGTACACTGATATATGTGTCACCTATGAACACCTGTGTAAGGAAGAAGAATGAACAAAGAAAAAAGGTTATGAAACATTTTTTTAATAAATCCATTCCATAATAATTTTAAGCTCCTCCATAAAATGTTTCATAGACTTCTGTGAAAATCAAATTGCCCACCCATATATTCATCATTAGCCACTGCCAAATTGTCCAGCCTTTCTTTCTACATTTCTCATTACATTGGATTCCAGCTAGTTACATGCGGACGAATGTCTTTTATCTTTGTTGTTATCACAACGATCGGTATGCCCTCCAGTTTTGGTCGTTGTCAGTCAATCAGCGTAAACTTCAGGGAATTTCAAGCAGAACACATTTTTAATCAATAGATGCAGAGCGGCCTCGTAGCGCTGAACTTACAAAAAGGTTTTAATGATTTTCAGATAGTGCTCGTAGATAAAAGAAAATGTTTGGATTCAAAGGTTAAGCTGATCGACATTCCTCTGACGAAGAACAGAGCGACCGAAACCGTGTGATAACAACAGCATAAATTAGAACTAAAAAATGTGGACGATTCAGTTCATATAAAACTTGTGGTCCTGCATTGGTTCTCTTTACTTTCTGAAGTTTCATTCTAACATTGCTCTCCAGGAGATGGTTTCTTTCAAAGTCTGATGTTTTGTATTGATCGTTATGTTTTTTTTTCTTCTTTATTTCGTTTCTCTTCGTGATCTTTTCCATGTACATAAGTGTCATAACTGTTCATTAAGCCAGATGATGACTAATACAAGGTCGATTGAAACGCTCTATGGAACCCATTAATCTATACGTTTCTTATTGATTCCTTGTTCGAATTTGCAAATTGTTTTCCTATCACCCTTCTTCCATCATTTGGAAATCAGGTTCCCAGGACGATTTTAATTTCCTGCAATTTTCATTGTACATTGTAACGTAAAAAGTTTTTAATTTATTCTTCCCTGCGTTGTTTTTTAGGTGCAGACACAACTTCAGTGGATGTATTAAAGGGTTTCTTTTACGGTTCAACTAGTAGAATCCTAGCAAATAAGTGACAGTATCCGGGGATATACTTCCTGCGTTGTTCTTCTATATGTCTTTCTCTGCTGTCAATTTTCTGAACACCTGCATATATAGCTCTGTTTCTGTCATTGATAAAATCTCCATTATTTCACACACCCCTAAAGTATTATTATTTATACAATTGCTGCTTTATATATTCTAACCGGCTACATTGATTTAGCAGTACACCGTCTCCTCAA